ATGCTGCTCTTCCAACATTCATTTATTCTCTATTTTTTTAACATAAAATACTTTTATTGCTTTAGTAATTCCTTGCAAAGCAATCTGCCTTAATGTTGTATATTTTTTTTTACAGGCTATACCATCGTTTTTTCTCTAGGTAATGTAATGGCACTTAAATGTATCAAATGTAGTGTAAGGATGTTTTCAAAGTCCTATACGTCCATCCTAACATTACAAATAATTTCATAAATGTGTATTAACTATAGAGAACAGAAGGCTGCTGTATTAAAAGGACAAAAATGTGTAACATTTGATGTAAATTTAAAATAGTGTTTAATTTTTTGACGGTCCAATGGTTTTTTAGAATTGATTTTTCATAAATAAATTATGAATTTTGTAATTAGAAGAATGTGAGGAGATAAATGTTACAATAATTATATAAAAAAATATTATTAGATGGATCATATAATAATTATAAAAATATTTCGACTTGAAAATGGGCAAAATTACTTGAAACGTAGTCGAGAAAATTAAAATGAATTTAAGCATGGAGTAGTTGTCTAAGGGTGAAATGAAGAGATTTTCACTGAAATTATAAATTTTAACCCACTATCTTTTCGGGCATCTTCAGAACCTGAATTCTTATACTTACATTTCATTAAAGATATAATAACTTTAATCTTTAACCCGGTAACATGATAAAGCGTATCTAATTCAGGCAGGTAAGTTTTTAAATAGATATATTAATGGCAACAAATTAAAGTAGCTGACTTTTAATATATTATCTCTTTTACTCATATTTCTAGGTTAAGTAGTATTAAATTTTGTCAAATTTAATAACATTAGTAATTGAGTAATAGAGTAACTCATTCGCCCTCTATGAACAATAAATAAAAGTAAATAAAACAGTAAAATAATAATACTGAAATGCATACACACAAAAAGAAACTAAACTTATCGAATAACAATTTAAATACAGTCGTACTTCTATAAAATATTTATAGAATTCATACACTCAGGACAATTCCGAGCCAAGCCTTTTCTTCCACTAGTTGATTCTAGGAGATCCCAGCGCCTCTCACTCAGCCGCATTACTCGTATTTTATATATAAAAGTAAGGATCAGTATTATATATCTTTAATGTAAATTAGACGGCGTGTGTTCCCCAAAACTTGCTTGTATTTTAAATTAAAAAATATAGGCAGATGGTGGATGCTATCTTTTGTTTTCTATTCACTGTATTTGTTTGTTTGTTTGTTTCGATGTCTAGGCGCAAAACATCCAGGTCATAAGCGCCCGATCAACTAAATAACATCATTTAATACTATTTGGATGGTTGGTACAAAAAAATAATAATAAAAACATAAAATAAAATAATAATAATAATAAAATAAGTAATTAAAGAAATGGATTGATAGAATAAAATAAATAATTAAGGATAATAATAGACATTTATAGGTAATAAGATATAATGTACAAACAAATAAACTTTAAAAAATAGCAGTAAAATCAATAAATGAATTGAGATTAATAAACAAATGAATTTAAAATGAAATGAAAAAAATAAATAAAGAGAATAGAATAATAATAAGAGAAAATAGAATAAAAATAAATATATAAAGAAAAAATAATAATGAATCTGCAAAGGATCATTAATTATAAGCCTGTCATATGTGTTTTTTAAGTCTTTCACTATCCAGGAACTTGATGACTTTGGTAACGATTTCTTCTTGATTTTCCAGAGATGCTGATATATTCTGGGGTATTCCGAGATCTTTTAACCTTGCGGTGTAAAAAGGGCATTCTTCCAAAATATGTTTTATAGTTAGTGATTGGTTACACTTTTGACATCTCGGGATAGGATCTTTTGTTATGAGGTGGAGGTGAGTCAGTCTAGTATGTCCGATCCTCAGCCGCGTGAGGACGACCTCTTCTCTACGACTGCTGCGCCTGGAGCTGGTCCACGGTTGCACCTCTTTCTTTATTGTCTTCAATTTGCTAGGTGCGCTGTTGTCCCACCGTCTTTGCCATTCTTGGAATATGGTTTCTCTCAGAGGTCGTGCGAGTTGAGATGGTGTCAGAAAATCTTTCCCGCGACCTGGAAGGATAAGAGCTTCCTTTGCCGCTCTATCAGCCATTTCATTTCCTTTAATTCCTATATGGCCAGGCGACCAGATAAAATGTGACCAACTCCATGCAGCATTTTTATGACTTAGAATGCAGTGTATCCCTGGATGGTCTGGATACATGTAATTCATAGCTTTCAAAGTACTATTCACTGTGAATTTAGTTTAATTAACATACTTGAGCCAAATAAGACAATTTATAGTATGTTTATTTTGAATTTTCCAGCCATATCTTGTTTAAAATCTCATTAAAGTTGGTTAGACTTTTTTTTTCATATCCCCCATTATTCATTGTTTCTGTGATGGTTGAAAGTCTTGGAATTCTCTTTTTTTCAGCATGTTTGCATCTAAAGCAGGATGGTATCTTCATGTATATTTATTATAATCACTTTGATTTCTGTATAATGATCAGGTGATGGAACTCACCTTTTTATTGTATTGATATTACAAATCAAAAAATAAACTCAAATTGAATTTTGAAACAGATTTTGCCAAAGTTAAGCAAGTTGAGAAGGTTCAAGTTGATTAAATAAGAGATTTATATACGAGACAGACAAAAAGAATCAGTTACATAAACTACAGACTTTTCAATCAAAAACATTCGCCATGGTACGTCAGTAACATTATTTTACATAAAGACATACAGACCTCGCGCGGGCTCATTACCGCGTATGGGGAGCGTCCCACGGGTGGCGGATGTGGGGATGGTCGGTTGAAATTCCTTGGAAGTTCCTCCCGGCTAAGTCCGATGGACTCGCTGACCAACAATGAGAGGGGCCCTCCAGACTTGCTGGAGGGAGGGGACCTCCAGACTTGCTGGAGGTAGGGGCCCACCAGACTTGCTGGAGGGTTACACAACGCCGAATTGCGTGAGCTATATCCGGGTAATATAATTGAGGTAATTTCATCGCGGCGAATCAAATGGGCTTGTAAAGTTGTTGGGCTTAGTAACGAGAGAATTCCTAAAAGGTTAATATTTGCTGTGCCGAATGGTAAGCGTCGGAGGGGTAGACCGAAGCGAAGGTGGGAAGATTGCATTAAAGCTGATCTGAAGGGACTGGGTTTGGACGGCGAACGGTGGAGGGAGGTGTGTAACAAGCGATTGGTGGTGTCGGCATCGAACCTTTGGGTTCGCTAAGCCTTATTATTATTATTATTAAAGACATACAGATGCCAACAGTTAACGACCACATACGAAGATACTACAAAATAATTCATAATAACTTACTCAGACATACCAACTCATTGATTCGAGGCATGGCCACAACTAACATGCCCGATAGCACCCGAAGGAGGCTTAAAAGAATCTGGATGAGGGATCTCCTCCACTAACTATAAATAATACATTCAAGACAGGAAGGACGCCGCTGGGCACTCCTCGTTCTCACGACTATTCCAAGGCCTATTCATCTTCTACATCTCGATATCACACTCGCTGATTGTCAGAACTTCTGACAGGGTTGAGCTGTAAAATTAAGAAAATAAAAAAAAATCATATTATTAATCTCGCTTTGTAGAGATTTTCACTTACACCGTAGGTCTAAAGCACACACCTTGGTTGTTGTTTTTTTTTTAATGATTCTATTTTTGATAATTTTTAAATTCCATCATTAGGCTTATTCGTTGGTTGTGATAACTGAAAACCGTTGTAGATAAAAACAATGTAACGTTTCGTGATATTTTGTTACTTCTTGGAATATATGCCCCTGATAATTATCTGTAAACTGTAAGGATATAGCTATATAGTAGACATTAAATGTTATGATAAAATTGGAATTTGGGTTAATTGATATGACCCCGAGGGAGCAATAATGGGACAAATAGAAGGGAGCGGGGGATACAGCGGGGATATTAATGGAAGGAGGGGAAATAAATCATTGTAGGATTGTAGCCCCTTCAATATGTTGGCTAGAGCTGACCCGCAAAGGCTTCGAGCTCTGCGCTATAGCGGCACCCTTCAACAGTTGATTTTCACGGCTCTAATAAATACAATTCATCGATTTCGTTTTTACAATGATAGTTATTATATATTGTTTAGTGCTCTTATTTAATTAAAGCAAATCACAGTATTCTCTTTAATTTATTGTAATTATTCTATTTTTATTAATTTATCATTGTTGAAATCATCAGAAAGATAACAGCTGATTACATTAATTTAAACAACCAATAGTGATTTAATATATTACAGAAATTATCAACTTTATAATTTATAAAGTTATATTTTAGTACTCACTATAAGATTTTACCTAAAGTCTTGTAAAAGTTATTTGTAGCTTTCATTAATTTTTCATATTTAATTTCCAATATATATATTATATATATGGCTCTACAGATCTTGTAGATCCTTGTCCGAGAGACGTTCTACACCACATTCCGTTTCCTGATTAAGTTCACCTAGATAGGGTCATCAGTCCTACGCTCCGGATATATATATATTTTGATAAATTATTTATTGATAATTACTGCTATTATTATTTATTAATTATTAAATTAAAACTAATAATAATATCAACTTCCCGGACCGTAAACAACAAAACACAACCTGCCATCAACATCGCCATATATGTCCAGTAAATTCAAATTCAGGTCTGATGGAAGCTTATAATCAAAATGTTCTTAAAAAATATAGCCTTAAAAGTCCATAGCACTAAAATTTCCATTAGTCAGTGATACAGATCCTTTTTTATGAAATTATTAACATCAGCCTGAAAGATTGATAACTACCCGATTCTCAGAATATTCGCTAATAAATTAATTGTACGTTAAAATGAGATAAAGTTATTTACTATGTTTTAGGCGAATGTTAAGAATTTGATTTTTAAAAGGAGCCTGTACTACAGACTATATTAGCTGAGTGCTGTTTGATAATAACCTGAAGCTTCCTCTCCTCAGGGCATGGCAGGCGAGGGCGAGCTCAACCCGGGCTTCGAGGAAGAGTCCAAGCGGAAGATCTCGATCGCCTCCAACGACAGAGAGCGGAAGGTCAGCTCCATCTCCATGCCCAAGTCCATCCTAGTCAACGGCGACAACCTCAGCCACCTCTCTCACGGTAAGGGTATCATAGTTATATATATAATATAATATAATATAATAGCCTTATTATAGCTTGAAACTGCATTTTAAGTAAGCCATTTTTATTTTATTTTGGTCTTCAATTCTTCATCCGCACCTTTCATGGTAGTGACAATTAGCAGATTTCTTAGCTATAAAATGGCATAATAGGGATGACGAAGAATGGAACCAAGCAGCACCTCATCTATATCTGTTTACATCCTAAAGAGGAGATCTCTTATCATCATGAAAGGAGATCTCTTATTCAGCTCTTTTTCAGTCGCCTCCTTATGAACATTTCAGTCGTTGATAAGGCCATTGTTATGTCCGTGTAGCTTAAGATGAAATCGGGAGTAGAGAGTACGTATGTGCTGGTCAATGGTTAGTTGTCTTGTCGTTAACATACCAGAGAGCTGCAGTTATTATTCTTAAAATTTTAGATTGAAAGGATTGTAGTTTTTGTAAATGATTCTTTTTTGCTGAACCGTAAATCTGTATGACCAAATGGGTTTGAGCAGGTAAGTGTATGTATTTAGTTTTTGTCTAATTTTTAATTTTGATGTAGAAAAAAGTGGGTATAGTATCTTCAGTCGCTTGTTCAAACTCTTTCTTTTCATTTTGACGTTTGGGCCCCAGGTCATCCTTCTGTCAAATATTAGTCCAATTATTTCACAATGGTTTATTATTTTCAAAAAATTATACATCGAAAGTAACATTACCGTCCTATTGTCCAAGAAAAAGAAAGAAAAAGTTATTCCAATTATTGGACAACAATTTTTTTTAATCATTAGTAATATGCCAAATTAACAGCATTACTTAAATAAAAAAACAGCATTACTTCAGTTACACATTCAAAAATCTAAAACTAAAATATAGGATATAACCTTTGCAGTATAACATATATGAATATAGAGATATAGACCATATCTCTGCTCTTAATTTTCAAATTTTAACGATTTATTTACAATGTTCCGTAAATTTTTAAATCATTCTACAACGTCGTCTTAAAATTTTAGATTGAAAAGATTGTAGTTTTTGTAAGTGAGTCTTTTTTGCTGAACCGTAAATCTGTTAGGCATATATCTAAATGGGCTTGAGCAGGTAAGTGTATGTATTTTTTTTTTTGTGTAATTTTCAATTTTGATGTAGAAAAAAGTGAGTATAGTATTTTCAGTCGCTTGTTCAAAGTCTTGACATATACCCAGGTCATCCTTCTGTCAAATATTAGTCCGAGGTAGCGTATAGTGTCCGTCTGAGGAATTGGATTGTTGCTGTTATAAACTGGTGGGCATGTTTGTTATCAAAGCGGAAACGTTATTTGTTGTGATTTGTTATGATTTAATCTAATTTTCCAGAGTGAATAACAATTTAGTAAGTAATTTTGTAAATTAATTTTTTTTTATAAAAATGTATTTACGCCTATCAACTTATTGAACAATTAAATTAATTTGTAAAGAAAAAGGTTAATTTTTCAACCAAGTGTAAAAACAAGTGGTATTTTGTATAGTCCGTGGTACAGAGCCCTTTTTATCGAATTATTAAGATCCGCCTAAAAATTCATAAATACCTTCTCGTCGTAACCTACAAATGATTAATTTACGAAAATTCTCGGAAATGGGGAGTTTTCAATCTGGAGGTCGGCAAACTTTGTCTATTTAATTAGGTACTAAGAACTTATCAATACCAATTTGCTTTCCGCCTGAATCGTAAGACAATATGATCACGAAGTCGAAAAAAAAAACTGCAAATTATTTCTCAATGGTTTGTTATTTCCAAACAATTATACATCTAAAGTAACATTACCTTCATCGTGTCAATTTTTTTAATTTTTAAATTTTAACGATTTCTTTTTTTTTTAGGATGTTCCGTAAACTTTTAAATCATCCTACAATATCGACAAAAAACTGTATACTTTTTGAGTTATTCGGAATCTAATTTTACAATCCCTCCTAATATTTTTTACAGTTTGTTTTCGTTAAAGTATGTAATATAGATAAATTTAAAGGGCATCGAGAAGAAGACTTTAGCGTAGAGAAGTTACATTTAAACCAGTACATTCGTTTTGGCGCTACAGTCTATCCCAACGCAGTTTTTTCGGTCGCCATCTTGAACGGAAAAGGCGGATAGAAATGTCGTTGAAGAAGGATCATCCTCGGGTGATCTCTAATTTCAAATTCAAATTTGGAAATAATCGGTCCAGTAGTTTTGGGGAAAATAGGCGGCAGGCGTATGGACAATGAAGTTTTTATTCGTTTTTCATATTCTACGTATCTTGAAACGTAAAACCTCAAATTTTGAGAGAGGGTTAAGTTTGAGAATATTTCATCAATTAAAATTGTTTTATAAATTTTAGAATTTAGAATTGGATCACAATGGTTCATTGTTCATTGGTTTATTGAAAATAATAAACCAAAACATGGGTACAAAAATATTATTCCGTTTGCCACGACCTCTACCCCCAAAATGTCAAAATAACGAGGTTATATCGACTAAATGGCCCAACATTTTTGTAAACAACTTTTTTTTTCGATATTGTGATCATGTTATCTTACGGTTCGAATAAAAAGTAAATAGGTATTCATGAGTTTTTATATTTATGAGTATTGACAAATAATATCTTTCACATTATAATGAACTACCAAACCATTCAGAATACTTGAAGAAAAATGATTTTTTTTTTTTCAGTATCTGAAGGGAAATCGTTTCAAAACATTAGGGTAAGCTCAGGACATAGCTAAGCAAGGTTTTTATTGTTGGACATTTAGAATCTCTAAGACCACCTTGTTCTATGTAACACTTTAAAATTGAAAAAATATTCAAATATGTGGATATGAATAAATAAAATAAACACCATTTTGCATCAGTGATGGACATCCCGAAATTCAATTGTTCTAGAAACGGACAGGGATTCGGTACCATTAATGGACATACCTCAGAAAATGTTTAATAACTTTGTTTAATTATAAAGATAACATAAAGATAAGATAAGATAAATGTTCAACGTACTTAGCAAAACTGTTAGCAGGAAGGTATGAAAAACGCTGATCTCAAGAGCGTTATAGAAACTACATTGATAGGCATTTTAAAATTTTCTTTTGGGAACTTTGTTCATACAGTTGTCAATAGAGCGCATTATTCTTCAACATAGATAAAACTGAAACCTTTAAATCAACAAGGAACCTTATTATTAACATTTTAAGTCCAACCAGTCCATAACTGGTTAATTCATCCTAACGAGATCTAATTTCAAAATCGGTCAATTCCTTCACTCAATTAGTCGTTAAATGCCTTTTAGCGAATTTATTAAATCACGTTTTATACAGTCATTTGTTCATTGTTTGAGCCCAGATTGTTTCAAAATACACAACCTCACCGTATGATTTGAGCTATCGAACTTAAAATTTTAAATTCGATAATTTCATCAATAATCGATAAAAATATTTGTTTTACACGCGTGTCTCATATTTTTGAAGTAAAAACTTTTTTAGGCGTGTTTTGCACTTTTTTGTGGAGAGTGAATTAGATTGAGCAGTCAGATCTCCGATGTGTAACGCTCGGGTAAAGTCGCCTGAAGTTGACTAATTGTAGTGTTTTTGCATATCGATTAAAATATCACGAAAACTAAAAATCAGACCTGCATACTCTAAGCCAGGGAATTGTTATGCATTTCATTGTTAGCATTATGAAACTGGCATAGTATGATCAGTCGAAACAAAATATACTAGAGTTAGTTAAACACAATTATGATTGTATACATTGTATATTGTATTAATTTTTGAATATAGAACAATCATATATTTATAATTTTTCATATATCTATTTTAGGCCAAAGGTCACCAAATATACAATGTTTTTTATCTCCTGTATGCTTTATTCGAAGTTTCGGCTTCAGGAGCCATTTTCAAGATCCAGCAAAGTTAATTTTAATTTATTTTTTTACCATTCAAATACATCTTTATCAGACACATATTATTTAACAACTACAAGTAATACAATTAGTCCAAACTTTTTTTTTAATTTTGAATAAACTTATATCATCCACCTACCATGCACCGCGCCTTAAATTTTTAAAAATATATCATTGCGATATGATTCGTCCTTAATTCGTTCTTTTATTTCAATGAATGTCATTTTCTATTTCTAAAAATTGTAATATATAAATAATAAATTAAAATAGATTGTTATAATTAATTTTAAAAAAGAATATTATTTATTTTCGGTTTATATACCTCTATTTGCAGACGGTATAAAGAAATTGTTGCTCCTCACTAGGGCATTCATACAGGACTGGATTTACTTACAAAAGGAGTGGGGTCACCCCACTGGGGTGGAAGGATTAGGGATCAGCTGTTTTATATCAGTATGTTTTATATTAATTTTGTCTATTGAGCTAGCATAAAACGTGTTTAAGTTATCAACATCTGTCTGTTGATTCACTGAATATTTTAAATTTTTAGTAATAAAAATGGATTCAATGATTCTACGTTTCCCAGATAACTTAAACACGTTTTATGCTAGCTCAATAGACAAAATTAATATATAACATACTGATATAAAACAGCTGATCCCTAACCCCTAAATCGGTGACCTATGGACTGTGAGCTGCTCTTGTTAGAGTATTTACAAATACCCTTTAGTTGCAATTATGAAGAACTATCCGATCTAATTGCATCAACGAGATTCAAACCTCCTCGCTCGACCCCTGGCTTAGAGAAACTTGAAAAGATAATTAAACTAATGGTGTTTAACCCAATTACCATCCAGCTTTCCCCCACCCCCCCCTAACCCTTTAACCCTTTAATAATTTCCTTTTCTTTCCATTGTAGCCGTTGGCTTTGCCTATCCAATCCTTTGGCCCCTTACAAGGCACAATTGCAGGCTTTTCATTATATTCCCGGAGGTAATCTCAATCCATTCCCTCGAGCCCTTTCGTCCCTTAACTATTCTTCAATTCCCTTCCCTTCCAGTATTGGTCTATCTGCCTTTATTTTAAATTAA